CCCCCCCCCCCCCCCCCCCGTGACAGCACTCATTCCCATAAACCTCCCCTGGAAGTGGAGTTGATCTCCCCTGCCTAATACTCAGTGTTACTATCCTGAGAGAGCCCCAGGGCATGTGGGAAGGTTGCCCAGAGTGTTGGGCTAGAGTCATCTGGGGAGGTAGGATCTAGAGTGCTCCATGGAAGGCTAGCTGCAGGAAGATTTTTGCAGGTCTGGGTTTGGGCTCATGCAGGGGTGGTCCTCTAGGCCAGTCCTTGGAGCCAGACGATTCAGGGAACAGAGAGTTTGGCCTCTTTGCAAGTATGTCTTAGGATAGTCCTAAGACGTCAGATGTCTCCTGAACGTCCTGTTGTTTCTGTCAGCTGAAGGCTTCTCTTTCAAAGGCCCCACAGCAGGAAGGGTCCACTGTCCCATTTCACTGCTTTGAGGGGAACTGCTCATCCATCCATCTCCCTTGAGTGCCCAGACCCCACTTTGCACCTTTGCTTGTGACTGGGGCCCTCTCTACCCCTGCCCCTGCCCTTGACCCCATGTCAAGCTACTGAGGTTCTAGCTCTTGTTTTCCTTCTGTTACATTATTCACTGTGGTCATGAGTCAGCTGATTGGCAGATGTTTACCTGTTTATGTACATACTCCTTTTGAAAAACCTCGTTTTTCCTTGTGTTATAAGTCCTGTTACATGTGGCAGTGTGACCCTGGGGATATTGGGAGGGCCAGCAGGGTGGCATGGCCTAGCAGCCTTGCAGTCCCTGCACCCACTCCACCTCCCTGACCCCCCAGCTCAGACTAGATTAGTGTCAGAAATAAAACCTTTCTGCCCTGGGAATCAGGGTCCTTCCGGGGCCTGCCTTTGGCACAAGTCCCAGATGCTGCTTGCCCATCAGGATGTGGGCCTGTTTCCTTTCTCCATAAGAGCAGGGTTGGGACCTTTTCAACCGTTGCCCCTTAGAGCAAGGAAGTACTGGAAGGTGAAGTTCATTTCAGAGCCATACAAAAATAAGCCTCAAATCAACGTCAGAATTAATTCACACCCCTCCTTCCCAGTGTTTGGCAGAGGCTGCACATAGCCTAGCCTCCAAGGTTGTTTCTACAAGTCTGGGAGAGTCCTCCAGGATAGAGAAGGCTTAACAGCCCCACCTGCAAGGGAGCTACAGTGCTGGGGGAAGAAGTGTGGTCAGTGCCCCACCATTTGCTTGCTGACTCCAGTTTTGGGGCTCCCTGTGTCCCATTCCTACCCACTGGGCCAGCCAGGACTCGGGAAGGAAGGTCTTTCCTCCACAGGCAAACACGGGTGCTCATGGCTGCTTTTGGTTTGGTTTTCTGAGAAAATAAGACTGGATTTGGGTTTTGCAGAAGATATGAGCTCTTTTCCATGCCTGCCCAGAGGCATCCAGGGAAGGGCAGTTTGAGTTCCATTTGTATGTTCTTTAGCAAGTATCTGCTTGGTACTTTGATTTAAAATAAAAACACTTTTTGTAATTTGTGTGTCTCTTGTAATGAAAGACTGGAAGGTACTTGTAAATGCATGCCCCTGTGAAAGTGCCAGCCTGTTGTGATTCTTCCTCAGACACATCTGCCCATCAGGTCCAAGGGTGGTCTGGAACCAAAGATCCTTCCTGTTTTCCTGAGGTAAAGTGGTTTTAATAACTACACCAGGTATCACTTTACTTCTTGTGTCAGCCCAGCGTGCAAGGGCCTAATGTTAGTCCTGGTCATCACTCTCTCTACCTGTTGCTGCATCAGAATTCAGCAGACTAGGTGGTTCAAAAACAACAGATAAACTACTTATATTTGTAGGGCTGGAGTCCAAGGTCAAGGCAGACCCTGGAGCTGTTCTGAACATGGAGCAGAGCAGGGTGAGGTTGATGTTAGAGCAACTCTACCTCACTTTGCTCCAAACCTGGAGTCCCAAGTGCTGTCTCTAAAGGGCCATGAACTCTTGCTATTTTCAAGCTAGCCATGTCCTTCCCTTTTCTAAATCAAGCTCCTTCAGCACTGCACCCCTTTTTGATACTGTCCCTATGGTTCCACAGGTAAGTCTCTCATCCCACAGAGCAGGGAAGCAGAAGCCATGTAATGTCACTTTCGGAGTTGGACCCTTTCTATAAGACAGACTTAGGGCGCCATTCCCTGGGAAGAACAACCCTGATATGGTCTTTTCATGCACATGCTCCATTGCAATAGGGCCAATAGATACACTGCAGCCCCTTTCTGTCATTCACACTTGATAAGTCTCCTGCCTCTAGCCCACCCCCCAATCCTCCAGAACATCTATAGGCACCTCAGATTTAATGGGTTCCATACAGAATTCTTTCCCCCTGAACCGATTCCTTCCTGCTGCTCCCTGCTCTGAGAATGATGTCACCAGCCACCCTTTGCTCAGGCCACTTTTTTGACTGTCACCTCAGACTCAGACATCACCTCCTTACTGTGCCCATCCCTCCATCTCTCAGGCCAGGAGAGTTCACACTTGTCCCCCACTGCCTGTTCCTACAGTCACTGTAGTGCCGATAATACCAACAACCCCTTTCTGTCATCCCTTCTGCCGCTTGGGGTAGCTTCATCATTAGCCCTTGTTAACACCTGTTGTTGACCCATTAGCTCAGAAGAGTCAACCTCTTGTGCCCACTGAGTGGGAGGTCCTCAGGACAGACTCCACCACTGGCCACTCCATGGTTGAGGATGCAAGAGGGGAGAATGGGGAATGGAGGAGCAGCCTACCCACTCAGCTTGCAGCATTCTGGAGCAGAGTCCACAGAGGGTGGTGTGGAGTAATAGCCGATGTCCGGATAGACTGCAGTTTGTCCACTACCTATAAAGGACATCTTGGATGTTGCCAAGTTTTGGCTGCTGTAAATAAAGCTGATTTCTGCAACTGTGTGCACGTATTTATGTCTGGACATGGTTTTCTTTTGAGTAAATACTAAAGAGAATCATTGCTATGTCATATGGTAGTGCTTTTTAAGTTTTGTAAGGAAGTGCCACACTGTTTATGGGAGGATTTGGAGGGGAGGGAGTGGGTGTGGATTTGATCAAAACAGCTTATATGCATGTATGAAATTCTCAATAAATTTTTCTTTAAAGTTTTTTAAAAAAATGCCACACTGTCTTCCAGTCTTTCAGAGCAGCTGCACTGTTTTGCATTCCCACCAGCAATGAAGGGGTGTTCTGTCGCCTCACAACCCCACAGGTATGCTTAGCATTTTGGACTTTGGCATTGTGACAGTGTACAATGGTATCTCACTGTTGCCTTTTTAGTTTTGTTTGAGGTGATATCACTGTATAGCCCAAGCTGGCCTCAGAATTGTGATCCTCCTGCCTCTGTCTTCTGTGGGATTACAGACATGTACCTGTTTATTCTTTTTTACTGTTTTATTTTTATTCTATGTATATGAGTTATGTGTGTATGTGCACCATGTACATACCTGGTGCTGGCAGAGGCTAGAAGAAGGCATTGGATCCCTTGGAACTACAGTTATGGACAGTTGTTACCTGCCATGTGGTTGCTAGGAGCTAAACCTTGGTCCTCTGCAAGAGCAGCAAGTGCTCTTAACTGCTGAGCCATCTATCCCTTCACTGTCTTTTTAAAATTTAATTTATTACGTGTGTGTGTGTGTGTAGGTCAGAGGACAACTTTGTGGAGTTGTCTCTACCTTTATGTGACTCCTGGACTGGAACACAGGTTACCAGGCTCATGTAGCAAGTGCCTTTACCAAGTGAGCTGTTGTTTTAGTTTGCAATTGCCTAATGACATGTGATGCAGAACACCTTTTTATGTGTGTTTGCCATTCTGTACCTCCTCTTCGGAGAGGTGTCAGGCCTTTAGATCATTTATGATTAGGTTCACTTTGTTAATTATGAAGTTTGTTCTGGTTTTGGTTTTTCTTTTTTTTTTTTTTTTCCTTGATAGTGCTTGAGGAATCAAACACAGGGCCTCACACATGCTAGGTAAGCACTCTACCATTGACCTACATCCCTAGTCTCTTTTTATTTTGATGCTGGCTGTAGCTGATAGCTACACACTTCTCTGGAGCGGAGAGCTTCTTCTGTTACTAGAGTATTATCTAGTCGGGATTCTGTCTCTATTATACCCTTATGCCCTTCCTCAGGATTGCGGAGTCCTGGCCAGTGAACTCCACAGGGAAGAAACACGGAGGCGGCGAAAGCTAGGATATCCGTGGGTCGGTAACGGAGAGTGCTGCTCTCCGGTGAGATCAGGTCGCCGGTAGTAAGACACAGGACTCAAGGCACGGCTTAGTCTGTGTTTACTGCTTTATTGTATCTCTGCTCCTTGCTGTCCAGCTCTCTGCTGATCCAGCTTTCTGGGACCCAGTCTCTGACCCGATCTCCAACTATTAAGAGAAGACTAGCATATTTATATACCATGGGGGTAGTGGTAAAAGCTTTTAGATACTTTGTGAGATATTCTATTTACATGTGGAAGTGGGTTTCTGCTAGACTATTGTCTACCTGTAAAAATCACACACAGGAAGGCATGGTATGCATAGAGCCAAAGGCCATGTTTATGTCAAGGCATCTGTGGCGGCCACTTCAAAGGGAGAGACAGGAAAGATGCCAGAAAGCACCTTGCTATGAAAAGGAGCCCTCGCCACATTCCCCGAGCTGCATGAGCTGTCCGGTGTGAAGGGGCTTCGACTTTTGCATAACAGAGGTCTCCCAACAGTTAACAACCATCTGGAACTCCAGTTCCAGGGGAATCTGATGCACTCTTCTTACCTCTGAGGGCATTACACAACATGGGTACAATTACATACATGCAGGAAATATATTCATACATATAAAATAAAAATAAAAAGAAATTTTTAAAAAATTTAGTAGT